CCGAAGCTCGGCCCATCGGGCTACTGTGCCTGTTCATGAAACTCTGGAGTAAGCTCAGACAACCCTTGTGCAGGGAGTGGGGGAGGGCTCACAACATGGGGTTCTTCTGGGGGAGCGGGCCCACGACGACGTGCGAGAGGGCCGGGTGGGCCCGCAACTTGCTAGGCGCGTTCTGCAGAGCGATCGGCACGGACAGTGCGACAGTATTGCTGGATCTTAAGAAGTTATGAGCATGTGCGACATGCTGATCTTTTTGCGGCTGCCAGGCAGTTCGGATTCAACTTGAAGCTTCTCAGGGGTCTGGTGACGATCTACTCTGTGTTCAGGACATTGGTGTATGATGGGGCGGTCTCGGATTTTCTGCAGGCTACGGGGGCTATCATGCGGGGTGTTCGGCAGCGACGACGCTAGCGAAGCTCCTTCTAATTTGCCCTCGTCTCCTCGGTGGTCCACGGCAGGCCCCGGGTGCAGGTGCGTAACGTAGTCGACGACGTGACTCTGCAGTGCTGCGGCCCCCGCCAGCTGGTGTCGGACCAGCTGCCCGCGGCGGTGAAGCGCATCCGTGTTTTTTTCGGCGAGCTCGAGCTCCCAGTGCACATGTCGAAGTGCAAGTGCTTGGCCAGCGGCTCGGAGCTAGCGAGCGCCCTTGGGGGGCGGCGGTCCCTTCCAGCCTCAGGTAAAGTCGACGCAGCGCGTAACCTCGGCGCGGATGCGAATCTCGGGGCGCTGCGTAGAGTAGGAGGCATCGCCAGGGGACGCTGGGAGAATGCTACACGGTCTTCGAGGCGCTTGGTCAACCTGCGTGAAACTGGCGCGGGCAGCAAGTGGATCCAGCGAGGGGGCCCGACGGCTTCCGCTCTGTGGGGTGTGTGCGTGGCGGGGGATCCGCCCGCGGAGTTGCGCCTGCTGAGGGTTGCAGCCAGTGAGAGTCTTGGCAGATATCCTCGGGGGGCCTCGATTGGGCTCAGGATGTATTCGTATCGGGGCGGTCGTCGAGTTGATCCATGGGTTATCGCTCTGGGCCGGGTTGCAGCCCAGTGGGGTTCGGCGTGCTGGGAAGGTAGCCCCAAGCCCCAGATCCTCAACGAGACTTTAGAGTTGGCCCGTGTCAGGTGCTCGGAGTCCATGCGGCCTTGGGTAGCAGCAGCGTCGCCAGCAGATGTCTATCTCTTGATGGTTGAGGG